TCCTGAGTTATAGTCTAGATCGGTCTGTAACATTACCATGAAAAAAAAACTTTTATACGAGATATTTATCATACATTAAAGTAATGATGATTCAGAAATTACAAATTCTTTTATTCAGATGTTGGACAAAAAAAAAAGTAATATCTAACTTACAGTATCGTAGTACATAGATCAAATAATAATAATACGTAATAATAATAATAATAATCCTCAAATAATACTTCTATTTATACTATTGTAAAAAATTTAAGTATTTTTTGTAAGAGCTAATTTTTAAGTTGTGAAAATTCTTAATTAATCTTAATTTCTTAATGTTACATATTCAGATTTTACTCGAATTACAATAGAAATTATAATGTAAAAAAAAAAAATTATCCGTTCGCTTTAGAAATTAAATTATCGATATAAATAACATAGTAGTTTTTGCCACTCTAAAAATTAAGTTATTATAAATAACATTAGATTTTGCCAAATTCCGTATCGGATATTTAAATAATGCATTATTGTGATCATCGTGCAACGTGAAGGGATTGAAAGTTTAATAATCGACTCTTGTATATTGCCATAGGGTCAATAGTTCGATTTTCGAATACGGATCTTTCCCTATTAGCGCCTCGAAATTGTTGTGAAATCATCGAACTAGGATTATGTTGTACAGCCGTTGCCCAACTATCTAACTTCTCACATAGTTCTACAACATTAGGACGTTCTTCGGGATTTTGATGCCAGCATCTTTTCATTAGCGATAAGTATACTTCCGGAGCATTAGTAACAATTTCTGGTCGTAAACCATTACATATGTGTGTTGCAAGATCAAGGTCATGAGGATCTTTACAAAATGGGCGCTCGCATTCTGATAAAGTCCACATTATAAGTCCAAAACTATATATGTCTGATTCTTGTGTATAATTATTACCTCTTAATACTTCAGGTGCAATATAAGGCAAGACACCATAAATGTTAGAATTCGTTCTATCTGCAGGACCATATAAACCGACGTCTGTGATTACTGCATT